ATGTAACGATGAGATTGATCTGGCTCTTGGTTGCAGTCAGCATATTTCCATACCGATGACCATATGTAATATATTGATACTGTGATACTCATAATGAGGAAATCGTGGGCGAAACTGAACATTGACTAAATGGGCGCTAATAGACCTTTTAGTGCTGCTGCTACTGTACTACTCCTACTACTAATATTACTGTTGCATCTACTACTACTACTACTACTACTACTACTACTACTACTACTACTACTACTACTACTGTTGCTATTACTACTACTACGACGACTACTGTTGTTGCTACTACTTATACAAATACCACGAATACTACTTCTGCTGGTGCAGTTGCTGTTGCAGCTGCTACTGCTGCTGCTTCTACTACGACTACTACTAGTGCTACTACTACTACTACTACTACTGCTGCTGCTGCTACTACGAAAACTATTATGACGATTGCTACTACTGCTTCTGCTACTATAACGATTACTACTACTATCACTACTAATATTACTAATGACCGTCTCCGTGGTCTAAAGGTTGAGCGTCCGCCAGGAGAGCGGAAGATCGTGGGTTCGATCCCCGGCCGCGTCATACTAAAAGAGGGGCGGTCGGGTACCTTAGTGGTTACAGCGTTCGCTCGTCACGCCGAAGACCCGGGTTCGATTCCCAACATGGGTAGAATATGTGATTTGCATTTCTGGTGTCCCCCGCCGTGATATGGCTGGAATATTGCTAAAACCATACACACTCACTCACTCATACTAAAAGACGTTAAAAGATATCTCATGACGGCATGGTATCTCAATGTGCTAGCACTTTTAATCTGCATCACTCAGGATTAGTACAAGCAGCCACAAAAACACACACAGAGGTGCATGCACGTCGCTATATAAGTGCAATAATCTTTGACGCGACGTTTAAACCCATTTCACCTCACTATTACTACTACTATTACTACTACTCTTGCTGCTGCTACAACTACTACAACTACTACTGCTGTTTCTACTACTACGACTACGATTACGACTGCTACTACTACTACTACTACTGCTGCTGGTACTAATACTACAACGGCTACTCCTGCTACTGCTGCTGCTACTACTATTACGACTCCTAGTACTGCTACTGCTACTTCACTACGACTACTACTACCACCACTACTACTACTACTGTTACGACTACTACTACTACCTCTGCTGCTGCTGTTGCTATTTCTATTTCTATTAGTGCTGCTACTGTTGCTACTAATATTACTACTTCAAGTACGACTACGACTACTACTGCTGTTGTTGCTATTTCTACTATTACTACTACGACCACTATTATGACTACTACTACCACTGCTGCTACTATTACGACTACTACTACTGCGGCTACTACCACGACTACTATTACGACGGATACTACTACTGCTGGTGTTGTTGCTAATTCTACTACTATCACTACTACTACTGCTGCTGCTATCAATACTACAATGACCATTCCTGCTACTACTGCTGCTGCTACTACAACTACTACTATTGCGACAACTGCTACTACTACGACTACTGCTACTGCTACTATTACAACTACTACGACTACTAGTGCTGCTGCTACTACTCCTACTACTGCTGATACTGCTACTACTACTACTTCTACTACTACTACTACTACTACTGCTGCTGCTACTACTTCTACTACTACTACTACTACTGCTGATGCTGCTACTACTACTACGACTATTACTGCTGCTGCTGCTACTACTACTACTAGTATACTGAACAACAAAAGTTCCTGTGACATTGAATAAGATTTAATGCAAAGTTATGTTTTTTACCAAATCTGAAACAATTTCGGTTTGCAACAAATAAAAGACTCCTTTAAGTGTTCAAATGGTTTAATTTGCCATACTGACTTCAGAAAATGCGTGATTTCATTAAAAAAAACATGAACATGCCAAAATGTCAATTTACAAATCAATAGCGTGTGTGTCCACCTCTGGTTGCGATGCAAGCAACACATCTTCGTCTCATAGAATGGACCAGGCGCCGCACAAAGTCCTGTGGGATATATGTCCATGTTTCGAAGTTCCTGGAGTGCCTGTGGAACACGTGGTTGACGTCGAAGGCGCCGATCCATCTCATCCCACATGTGCTCGATTGGTAAGAGATCAAGGGAGCGAGTCGGCCAGGGGATGACATTCACGTTCTTTTATTGAAGAGTATCCTAAACAAGTCGAGCAATATGAGGCCGGGCGTTATCATGTTGAAAGGTAATGCCTGGGCCGTGACGTGCCGTGACGGGCCTGTAGTCGTGCTTGACGGTGGTTTCCTGTCAAAATGGGACGTCTGGTGGGTCTTCTGGCGACAATCCCTGCACATCTGAGAAGACGACGTACGGTTTGTGAAGATATTCGTCGAAGGCTAGGGATGCTTCTTGCAGTCACTGTTGCTGGCTGGAATCGATTTCGTAAGTGTGTTGTTCGAATCCAGTTGTCTTGTCGATTATTGGTTACGCGTAGCCTGCCACTCCGAGGATGGTCTCTGACTGCATTCGTCTGTTGCCAACGTTGCCTTAAACACCAAATGGTGTTTCTGTGGACGTTAAATTGTCTTGCAACATCACGTTGACTCGATCCTGCTTCAAGCATACCAATGGCTCGCAGACGCTCATTTTCGGACAGGCGTGGCATTTCGTAATGCTGAATAATTGCGTAATTTTGTTGTTTTTCTGAGTGGTTGTTGTCAGCACGATGCTAAACAATGCATATGGAATCCCGTTAACGCACATGTTATTATACCCATTCTTGGGTAGTGAAATGCATGGGGCTTGCATAAAAGTCCACTTTTGCATGGAATGCATGCTTTTCTGTAGCAGTTGCGTTTTTGTGACTTGATTCCATACATGTACTACAATATTGAAAAACAAACTTTACTTGTTTGAAAAATACACTAAAATATTGGTGTCACGGGAATTTTTGTTGTTGAGTATATTACGACAACTGCTACTCCTACGACTACCACTACTAAAATTACGACCACGACAGCTGCTGCTGCTACTGCTACGACTACTACTACTATCACTTCTATTATGACTACTACTACGACTACTATTGCTGCTGTTGCTGCTGCTACTATTACTACAACCCCTACTACTACTGTTACTACTAGCACTGCTGCTTCTGCTGTTGCTGTTTCTATTACTACTACTCCTTCTGCTGCTTCTACTAATACTACAACGACTTCTGCTGCTACTACTATTACGACTACTTCGACCAGTACTACTGCTGCTACTACTGATACTTTTTCAATAACGACTACGACTCCTACTGCTGCTGCTACTACTATGAATATTACGTTTACTTCTTCTGCTTGTGCATTTGCTGTTGTTGCTGCTACTACGACTACTACTAGTACTGCTGTTGCTACTACTACTGCTACTACTGTGTGAGGAACTATTTGCAGACCAGCGCAATAAAGGTGGCTAACAAACAAGAAATGGTTGTAGTTGTAGTAGATGGTGCTGTCTTTGATACGGGTATCACATTTGTTTGCAGTATTTCGACGACTAGTTTCAGCCTTGTGACAGTTTTCATAACGTTTATAATATTTTGGTCAAATCCAGTTTTCAAGTGTATGCTTTCTTTTGCCTGGCAGTGTATTTTAGAAGAGCTTCATCAGACAACAGAAAACAGCAAACAGTGGATGTCTGTTTTTCAAAAGATATTAGTCCAACTTGTCAGGGTAAGTTTTAACTTATTTTTAACTCCTGTGGCTATAATTTGAGTTCGAGTCAACATGCAGTTCGACACCCCCGGATTAAAATAGTGATAAATATAACAACAGGGACCTAACTCTGAGTTCGACACAGCCGGGGTATGGACACATCCGAGTTCGAGAAAACAGGTTCGACTGATACCGGGGATGCTTGTCGTAGCAGACGACTTTATGGATCGGATGGTCAGGTTCGCTTTTTTGTTAGGATTAGTCTCGATTATATACAGGAGCAACGAACAAATATATTTTAATGTTTTTGAGAAATAATAGACTCAAACAAGTGGTCGATAGTGTAAGCGACGTTCAACTCATCAAACTCATCTCTCATCAGATTGGTCATATTACTGTTCGGGGCGGCAAATACACATTGCATTATACACAGCTAGGGCATCGAACCCGGGACTTGGGCGTCACCAGCGAACTGTGTAACCACCAGTATATTCCACTGCCTCAATGGGTGAAGACATGGGAGGACGTATGACCAAATAATCGGGTATGATGTCTTACTATGTCAGCCAGGCTTCAACTGAGTTCTTCGCTATGCAGAGCTGTGTCGCCCCTTAGGGCAACCTATCGTTGTGGGTTCGAATCCATGTCCATCCTTATTTTTTTATCTTGGTTTGTCAGCACCATACCGGTGTCCGCGGGTTTCACCAAAGTGGTGGACGTCTAAGATCTGCATCATTTCGGGCTTTCCTCCACATCAAGCTGACACGCCGTGATATAAAGCTCACTCACCCATTCCTCCCTACCAATTCACCACCTTAATATCATCGATAGAATATAACCGCTTCACGCAACACAAATAATCCAGACAAATATTTCTACCTATTTACCAATTAAACCTACCATTATAAAAATCAAACTCTGATCCAAAAACACTCCAGATATATACGAGTGAACAAACGCCACAACTGTATATCAAACACAACTTCCTAACGCTGATTGTCGACACCCTACCAAGACGTCACTTAATCTTAGTATCGCCGACAGCTGACATACACTCATTATACCCTAAAGGCGATAGCATTCACCCTCTCCCCAATCAATACATGCATATTCCTGCACAATCATTACCCCCAAATACCCGATACGCTTGTTTGTTTATCTAGGTTGTGAAGTCAATTGAAATGCAATTGTTCAGACTGGCTTATCATAAGCGATAACGACACAAGACGCGGCTTCTGCTGTGAACGTTATGGCGTGTTACCAGCTACCGAAGAAGTGCGCCACCCCTCGAGTTGCTAGGTACATAATGAAAGCCTACCCACACTTGGGGGACTGGGTCAGGTCCCAAGAGGGGTGAAGCCAACAGTGGCGTTTATCTGCCCTCACGTTTCAAAATATCATCAATTACGCTACGCATACAAACCAATAGCAGGAGTTGTCGGCGCCATTCTTGACCATTCTCTCAGACTGTCTGGTGTACCTGGCATTCGGGGACCAGTTCCAGACGAAGTCTTGTGTTAAGGTATAGATGGACAGGAATGAACAAATTCAAGAAAGAAATATGTATCCATGGAAATATGTTTGATGTCTAAGGACAACGGTCTGCTGAATCTAAGGTAAGCCCTTTTCCTCATATAGCAAGGTCTTTGTTAATTATTGAAAAGGTTACAATTCAATCATGTATTATAACTTTAAGTCTATTTAAACTTTAATTTGAAAAGTAAACAATAAAGCAGCAAGGCGTAATATACGAGGGATATCGAATCGAGTTTACGATGACATGACATGATTAATTAATGAGCAGTCACTTACAAGTAACTGACTACTCGGCATGATGTGCTTGTATTGTCTGGATGGTCTGTATGGCTATCCTGCTATTCCCATATAAAACGTAAACGCCAGAGAATAATCAGTTTCCACCATCTAAGGAAACATATTCCACAGGGCGCACAATGTAATACAGTGCTGACAATTACGTGAATGGATCGCTAAAACTCCTTCATGACACCAGGTGTTCGCGAAAAGGGTAACCAATCTATTTAAGAAAAATTATTCAATTATTCTTGTAATCAGCAATAACGAATAAACACACATGAGTAGTGTTGATAACGGCGCGTAAAAACATACTTACTAATGCTGATTATTGTGTACACCAGCAAAAACACTAAAGTTTCTTAGCGAAACAACACGCTGAAATAGGAAATTCGCCTCTTATGTATGATAGTTGATTTATTTAATTCTGATTTCATACATTAAACAAACATAACCTACAGACAGCCTTACCTTAAATTTTAGAAACACATACATTCGCCAGCAAAAAGCAATAATGAATTTCCAATGCAGATATTATTCACCAGTATCCAAAACCAAAGTCTTTGCCAAAACAATATTCTTTCAATACTTACAAAGCCAACATTTTTTCCTGCCTAATCCTACAGCCTTGTCATTCCTCAACTTGAGACTAAGGGGGAAACACGTCATATGTCTCCAAGTGTCGGTTCGTGTTGAGGACGCCAAAGTGTACTGGTGGCTGGATTAACGTCCACACACACAGCACACTCCACAATGTCAGAGAATGTACAAGTGCTACCCCGACTGTGTAAACACAGGTATCTACCTTATTGCCAGGATACCGAGTCGACATGATATTACTTCGAGAGTCATTTGGCATCCATAACCCTTAAACTGGCGTACGAACTAATCTTTGGTTTTATTTGACTGTTTTTGTCTATTTATTTTTTAAAAAGATTATGTTTCTGTTATGGAGCAGCTTTACATGTATCGCAGTAGACGAATAATGTAGCAGCCTAACGCTAAAACGAGAAGTTTTTAGATTTTCTGGAGAAAAGTACTTGATCCATTTGTATTTATGGATTATCTAAAGAGCGTTATCGCTTTTGTTTACTTTCATCTTCACAGAATACCAGTTTGGGTCACAAGACCCATTACATACTGATGTACACAAATACCCCGCTGAGTGTCTCTAATAAAGGACTTTCTCACACAACAATCTGTGTTTAAAATCAAATATGCAAGTGTTGAAAAGAACGCGATCTAAAAGTCATTCATACGAACAATGTGAAATATTTCCTAATTTCTTAAATCATGCTGATGTAGAAGGGCAGTAAGGACCTTTTCGGGTTAACGGAACGACGGTACTCTTTGTGTATCCACCTGGTCTTAATGTGTAATCTGTTGTAATTCTCTTACGATAACATTTATTTTCTTTACAATGGAAAATACCCATATTGAAATACATAAATCTAAATCGATTATCTAGTAACATTTTGTAACTGACTAACTGACTGTTACTGTCCACAGTATACATGTACATGACCTCGAGCAGTTACTGACGGAAACACATGTGACCTAAGGTTAGGGACACTGTTAACACGTCATGCTTATCGGGAACAGTCCATTTGATATTCTGCAAAAAAACGTTTCATGGTTCCTAAAGAAAGTGTTTAACCTCATCCTTTCAGAGAAAAAATATCATAGTTCTTATAGCAGTGACAGAAATATTACTTTGTGACCATCAGAATTCCCAGACCACTTCTCTGCGCTATATGGTCGCATGTAGCCCCGTCGGCCTTGACTGTGTTGTTTGCCAGGCTTGGTAGATTACAGCACGACAGCAGCTATTGTATAGAGCCCGGATGATGAATGAAGCCGGATATCGGTGGCACGACTTGATTAACTCTCATCAACCTAGTAACGAATTACATTTTAATGACAATGCCAGAATCACTGTAGGCTTTATTCGATTTCTCACTGTAGTGCTCCATTATCTAACGCAACATTTCTGTTTTTTCATGTGCGTTGAGCGAAGCCATGTTTCCCCTTGACAATTTTGTGTCAGTGGTCATGTTTGGGAAGGAATGTGACACATCGTCGAACGAAATGAAAATTGCCAATATTGGCAGGAATTCATTTTGTCCCATGAGAATGGTTAAGGCAATCAGAACACGAAAGGCCATGCTATCAATCATTACATTAATTGAGTAATGACCAAACATAGGTCTACGGTCAGACAGAGTTATTTTCTGTTACAGATATGGCGACGGAAAACTGTTGGACGTTGTGGCAACGTCTCCCTCCGCGTTACCAGCTCACGACACAGGAGATGGCAGAAGAAGACGAAATAATGGGGGTCATGGGGTCAAGGGTTGGTAGTCCTACACCACGTTCGGCCTCCTCCCGTCGTGAATCGCCGCGTTATCCTTCCGCCAATCCCCATTTTCCTGGAACTACTTTTGCAGGAATTGCTCCGCACACAACCGATGACCGTTTAAGGGCGTTTCTGGATCGGAAAAAGCTAGCATTCCCGTTAAGGAACTCTAGATACTTGCACAATATGAAGACCCTCCAACGTGTGAACTCTGCTCGGCAGAAGATTACGAGTGATCCTTCTACTGTCACCTATGTGCCTTCCATGAGAACGAAAACGCTGCCTGCTTTTCCTGTGACCAAACTTTCCAACCTTCAGAGAGCAACCGTGGAGACAAGAGAATACACTCTCAGTTCCAGGAACAACTTTTACCCTGTAAAACCTGACTCTGGCTCTCACAAGGTTGTAGCTGTGCATAACATATTCCCGTTTGACGATACCAAATCGTTGGCGAGACAATCTAAGGACCAAAGCAAGAAATACGTTGTCAATGAACTTGATGATGCAACCATGTTTATTGACAATGACAAGATTATATACTTCAGAAAAACCAAACCGAACATGACGCAGTCGGTTATAGGGAGCATAGGGGCGTATTCTGCGAAGAGGAACGATGGTAGTTACATTGCCCACCTCAGAAAGGCGTATTTGAAAAATCCGCGGGATCTTGCCAAAACAAAGGAAGCCGAACCAGACATACACACCATTCAAAGAGAGAGGAGTGACTATGATAAGAGGGTGGGGCATATATTAGACTACTACTCTGGTAACGTATGTCAGAAAGGAAGACAGTGTGACGAAAGCAGGAAGACTCCAGTTCAGCCAGTAAGGACCGGAAGTCCTCGCCAGCGCATCAGGTCCTCAAGTGCACGCTTACGGTCGTTGTTGTCGACCCCGGTCGCCCAGACTCCACCTAGTACTCGAAGCTGTGTTGGTCCTGTTGATCCGTTCGAGGAGTGGAGCTTGTATTTTAAACTGAACCAACGCTCGGTTCTTCATGAGAAGCAGTTTTATCTGAGAACTCCTGGAATACGTGTACTTATTCCGGGTGTTCAGAATATCACACCTAGCGATGTGTCAAGTTGCAAGTGCCGTCTGTGCCGTGTTGAGATGGAACTATCCGTCATTGCACAAATGAACGAGATGGGCATTGAGATACCAAACAACATGACGTCAAAACCGTTAAGCCCACCTATACCACCGGAAGTGGAATGTCCCGGGAGACCAAATTCCGCAGCAAATGAAATCGATAAACAAAATGTCCTATTAGATTCTGACCCAATACCGAATCATCAGCCATGTGTCAAACAAAATGGCGAACTCTTGACCATCAAACTTCCAGAAATTACCGAAGAAACGTCTGACGTCAGTTCACTAGCAACCTATCGGAACACAGATCGAAATGGGACAAATGTGTCAGGTGATTGTTCCACAAAGAAAGAAGGTGCTGCACAGAATATGGTGAATAGTTCTGAGGTAGTGTCTACATCTGACAAAGCATGTGGTCCAGGTGAACCGGCTGTCACTACTCGGGAATTACCCAAGGAGCCTGAAGCCTCGACTGTCTCAGAACACGTGGAAACAGTGACAGCTGAAACCTGTCCATGAGGCAGATGTATTGTCGCTGTGGGTGGGAACAGGCATAAGAAGAGCCTTCTGGTTTCAGTTCGATACCAGTATTTGTTATACACGTGTGGGTCAGGAAAGCCCAGTCTGTGTCTGGCATATAGATCCTTATAAGCTAGAACGTGTCCTAAGCGGAGTGTACGGGAGTGTCCGAGCTGGATGAGCTTGTATACCATGGGTACAGAAACGTTCATCTCAGTGAAATTATTGTTTGTGCCAGTTAGTGTGCTCGCTATCCGACTCTCAGTTTGGCGAACAGGCTCAGTTGTGACGTTTCAATCAAGTGACGCCACATCCACCATCATGACGTCATGATACATAATGATGGTACAGGGCCGCTACTGACATGTACGGATTTTTACAAGATGGCAGCATGCTAATCAGTCGTCTAGACTTTCTAATGAGTTATGGTAAAACAGTTTCTGGGTCCTTTCGTTCGTCAAATACGTTTTGAAACACTCTCGTTGTCATGCAAACGGTATTTGATGGGTACTGGTTTAATATTATCTATGTATTTGTGTAGAACTCATCCGGTTTTTTTTATATTATCTATAAAAGGCTGGTAACAAATGGATAATCGGCGATGGCCTTGGTTTTTGTGACGGATATATAAATTCGCTTGTCTTTCAGGCTTGTGTGTGTTTTGTGATAAACTGATGTACGTGTTTGTTTTCATACATATCGCATACAGTAATAAATACATTAAAGGGGCACTGATCTAACGCAATTCCCCGGGACTGGTTGTTGCCTTTGTTATTGTTTTTTCCCAGTGAGTACCCGGATGTATAGAAGAAATCTAGACTAGTTCGCGACCTCTGCTGCGCCATTCGTAAGCGCATTAGTCACTTTTATTGGTAGTAATAAGGGCGTATGGTCACATTGATCAACAAAATGAAATACAGTTTTCGAGATAATAAGGACATGTAGGTATCCTTGCGGGTAGCATCGGTAATGGTGACGAAATTTTGATAAGTCACTTGCTTGGTAATTTTGCGATTTTCGTTTACACTATTTTGACTTGCAACACAAAGTAAATATTTCACCTGAGCATTGCTTTTTTTTATAGTGTGTATATTTTTTTACTGTCAAAATGTGTAACATTTTCAAATTTATTAAACGCCTAAATATTCAGTTATGTTACAAAGTGACTGAAAAACATTTCCATCTGTATTATTATGATAACGAATTCCAAACATTTTGATGTTTAATGTCATCACCAAGAGACTGAAAATGTTACGTTGAAAAGTACATTTCTATGTTGTTTGGCTTCTAATCCAACATCATAATCTGTTGTGATGTTGTTAGGCCCTTTTGATCGTCTTAATCAATTTTAGTCAATCTGAAGAATTTCCCAACCAAGACGTAGAGGAACAGGAACGAATCGGTTCAGTGCTACAGCGAATGAAGGAAAACAAAATGCAAATACCATAATTACAACCTACCAAATTTATGTGTATAAATTTTGGGCAGCTTCCTTGTTCGAGGAATGTATCCGTGAATATCCACACAAAGGAACAATATCCCACTCGTCTGCAGCTGTACAAAGAAACTTATTCGATGTCACGTGTCTCTGTAACAATCAAATATTTTTAAAGATATATATCGTTTCGGGATATCATAACCTGTGGTCCTTTCTCAACTGATCACTTAGATTGTTTCAGGTGTTTCACATAGGTGTCAAGTCTCAAGGGTCGGCTGAAAAAGCCCACGTGACAACTATTTTCATAACGTCCACGGTTCCTAAAAAATCCATTGAGTGATAGATAACAATGAGCAATCAATCAACGTATTATTAGTTAACCCTTTGAACAAAGTATGTTGTTTTTACATCGACACTTCACGCCATGATATGAGTGTATTCCCTTTGTTTTAGTAAACCTAGACATGTAAACACTCACTTTTGACATATCCACTGTGCAAGATAACAGTGATTAATCAATCAACGTATTTTCTGTTAATCCTTTGATGACTAGGAACAATCCGTTGATTTACAAAAAAAAGTAAATCAACTGATCATTCACCTCTTGCTGGTCTGCCACGTGCATATTACATAACACACATTTCACCTCAGTTCAAACCTGGATTTAGATTGAATAATTACCCCAGACACAATAAATGCCAAATGGGAACCTTTGTCAGGTAATCTAAGTGGTGCTACCACTAATTGTACCTGTAATAAATTCATTAACAGAGCATCAAGTGAATGACGACAAATATACAAGTGTAGGGTTATACCAGAAAACGTGGATGACAACAAGTGAGTAGTAATCGTATTATCGACGCAATCCGAAATCCGAAAATGCTTTCATTGCATGGATACTTTTTTTTAATATTAAACTATAACCATCTGGGGTATTTCCAAATGACGACATACGATGAGCTCCGCCATTCTTTTTGTCTGTTTGTTTAGGCTGAAGAAATTAATTAACATGCGCCTTTTGTCGAAATCTTTATAGATCACGGTTAAACTAATCAGTGTTCAAAAATGCGTAAAACAAATATTGCCTCCAGCCTCCAAGTTTATTAAGCTGTCCTTGCAGACGGTAGCCCAGTTTCTGGTCACGCTCAGTTGCGTTGCGTATCATCCGGGTACTCACGGGGGAAAAACAATAACAAAGGCAACAACCAGTCCGGGGAATTGCGTTAGATCAGTGCCCCTTTAAATGAGAAGCAGAATAACGGGATTTTCAAATGTAGTAATAAATTCGTTATTCACAGAATACACTTCAGTAAGACACACTGTCGGGGAATTAGGGATTCTTTTATGCCCGAAGTTGCTTTGCGTCATGTTTGAGCGCTATTTTGTTTTCAAAACTACTGACACAAATAATTGTTGTAACATAAAAGAATTAGTTCATCCAATGTGGAGGTTCAACACAATCTGGAGCAACAAAGTGGAGTTACGTTAGATTAACAATTACAATCAACATATTCCTTTTTAAACTTTTGAATGCAGGGAGTTCAATATAAACGTCGCATCGGGAATATCTCAGCACAAGATCGGCGACATGGATTAGCAGCTTGAACATGTGGAAGTTTGGAAATGTGGAAATGTGTGTTAATAATCCTCTCCGTCATACTTTCCCACCTGGAGGAATCAGTGAGTTATTCGTGGGTAGGAGAAGATGGGTAGGCTAATAGTTAAAGTGTACGCTTTTTCACGACGACGACCCGGGTTCGATTTCACACGTGGATCCTCGCGTACTGTGTTACCGAGCGCCTAAGAAGTATTTCTCATTACCTGTCTAATAACAATCGCAACACACTAAATTAAGTCTTACCTTTGAGAACATTTATTTCTGTTTACAATTGGATAGCCAAAAGACCACATATTGTCAATATAATCGGGATATTGCCTCGCCAAGCGAGATGAGTCAATCAGGCGCCATCTTGTTACCGTCACGTGATTTCGAGCCCCTCCATTATGGCCTCCGACCACAGTTATCCCCCCTAAGTTTTACCATGAACCGGAAGGAAAATAGGAGAAAATAGTGCCCTGTTCAAATGGGCTGTTCAGCCTGTGCCATTTTTTGGGGGGAGTGACTTGTGATAGCTTACATGAAAGATTAGACATTGTAGTATGTTGCCAATTTTTTGTTAGCCACAATCTGTGAAGGTATTGATTCCAGCCTCCCATGACTTGACCCCCAAGTTGAAGGCCGCTCTGTGTGTTTCGGCTCGAAACTTCCGGCGAGCACTGTTGACAGTGGTTACCGAGAAAGGGGGCTGGTCAAAGCAGGCCGAAACTTTGCGTTTTAAGTGACAAGTGGCAGGTTGGTCAGCATGCAACAGGAGAACGGCCTACGACCGATAATAATTATGGTGGGCTGTCATGTCACTGTAGATAGCAAAGAAGGAAATTAATTGTGGTCTGAGGCCATTACAGTCGAGTTAAAAATAGATGCACAACATGATCAGTCACATGACACGAGAGGCAGGATGTTTACAAACAACAGCCGATACATCATCAGTGCATACAATTGTTCTGATGCAAAATTATCATCAGATCAAGTTTCATTAAAATGTGCATTGTAAAAAAGTAAGTTTTCAGGTATGTTTTCATTACTTATTGAATATCTTACCTCTTGTAGCTTTAATTTTAAAAGGGGCACTTCTAAAGCAATTCCCTGGGACTGGTTGTTGCCTTTGTTATTGGTTGTTTTCCCGTGAGTACCCGGATGATACGCAACGCAACCGAGCGTGACAAGAGACTGGGCTACCGTCTGCAAGGACAGCGAAATAAACTTGGGACAATATTTTTGAATACTGATTGGTTAAGTGTGATCTATAAAGATTTCGACAAAGGGCACATGTTAATTAATTTCTTCAGCCTAAACAAACAGACAAAAAGAACGGCGGAGCTCATCGGTTGTCGTCATTTGGAAATACCCCTAATGTTATAAACTGACGTCCAAAAGAAACTTTACCAACTGAAAATATAAATTTCAGACAAAGAAAAAAAAAATTCGATGAAGTCTATCTAAAACACATAACCTAAATACAACAATAGTTTATGCAGAAAATGTTAATCGTCTGTTACATGTTTGCGAGATAAAACGCGAAAAAGTGAAAAACACGTGCACCACGGACAACTGCAAATGCACGTGCAAGTAAGGGTATAAAACGATTGCAACGGCAAGTCAGACATCCACAGTGATAAAAAAAAACACAAAAGAAATGCCACGACTCACAACGTGTTTACCGCCGAAGGGGTGAACGAACGGCGGCGTGTTGCGTGCAGGAGGTCGTACCATATGGTGGAGGGAGTGTCATGGTGTGGGGAGGGATCTGTGGGCAGGAGAGGACACCGCTGGTCATCGTTGACGGAAACTTGACAGCTCAGCGTTACATGGATAACATTCTTCGTCCAGTTGTCCTACCATTTCTCCAACAGCAGCCACGTGGTGTCATTTATCAGCATGACAACGCTAGAGCCCATACAGCCAGAATTGTCACTAACGTCCTGCCGTGGCCTGCACGCTCACCCGACATGTCCCCCATAGAACATCTCTGGGACTTGATGGATCGTCGTTCGACAACGACCACACTCTCCGGCCAACCGGCAAGAACTGATCTTGGCCCTCCAAGAAGAATGGCGTCAAATCCCACGTGACCTCATCAGACGACTGATTTTTTATTTGCGTCTAAGAGTTTTTGCGTGTATTGAGGCATTTGGTGGTCACACGCTACTAATGACTTGTTATTGAACGTGAGCGATGGTTTATGTACTCTGCCTATTGTCCATGATTCTGAAAGCTCGAGTTTTGTACCAGACCCAACTTTTGGAGGCTCTGACGTCATTCTCGGTCGCGGTATGATTGTTTTTTTCAGTGTTGATTATGTTGATATATTGATCTTCTCAATACACTTTACTTCATGCATGTATGTTTTGTTGTTTTTGAGCAAGAGTGATTTCAAACTCTGGTAAAGTTTCTTTTGGACGTCAGTTTAGTTTTAAAAAGTATCCATGCAGTGAAAGCATTTTCGGATTTCGGATGGCGTCGATAGTACGATTACTACTCCCTTGTTGTCACCCACGTTTTCTGCTATAACCCTACACTTGTGTATTTGTCGTCATTCACATGATTCTCAGTTAATGAATTTATTACAGGTATAATTAGTGGTAGCTGACGAAGGTTCCCATTTGGCTTTTATTGTGTCTGGGGTAATTATTCAATCTAAATCCAGGTTTGAAGTGAGGTGAAATGTGCGTTATGTAATATGCACGTGGCAGCCCAGCAAGAGATGAATGATCAGTTGAT